AGAAAAATTGTAGTAAAGTACTGTAGATGCTTTGACAGATTTCTAGACAAGGCCAGTGTTACTTGCCAACCACTCTGGGCCTTTATTTCTATAAATTTGAAGTAAATAACTTGGAAAAAACTACGTATAGAATCTAACCTCTTTGAGGGACACCTGTGTGTCTCAGTGTGTTAGGTGTCTGACTCTTGATCTCAGCTCAAGCTGCAATGTCAGGGTCATGAGTTCAAGCCTGCCATTGGGCTCCACACTGGGCATGGAGCCTACTTGAAGAAGAAGGAGGAGGAGAAGGAGGGGGGAGGAAGAGGAGAAGAAGAAGAAGAAGAATGGAACCTGTTTGAGATGCATAACTTTATGATTCTGTCACTCTATGCCATTGACTTTGGATCACAAGGAAAAGCCATTGGAAATGAGCATGAGGAAATAAATGGAAGTTCAAGATGCAGCACATGTATCTTTGAAGTTTAAAGTAGAGAAAAGTATGTCATTATAGTCAGAGAGGCAGGAGTAAAAAAATAAGTCCATTGTATGGTTGCTAAGGAACAGAAGTATGTGGTATTACCTTCAGCTTTTCCATAATATTCCTCCTACCTCTATGACTCATGTGAAAGCTGGCTTTCCCTTGATCACAAAATGTCCTTCTCCAATGGCAGCCTCTCCTCCTACCCCACCCCCAACCGAGTTTCACAGGACTAAGGGGAAGAGTTGATAAACTGTACACAGGAAGCCTTTTTGTACTTCTTATACTTTGTAGGAAATAAAAGTGCTCCAGAATCCATTTCCACAAACAATTAGTGGTAACACTTTGGTAAATATTCTTTTGGGCATTATGTATATATAACTATCATATATCAGATTCATCCAGTTACTTATCATACATACACAATATATAAACATCTATACTGTATATATAATATATGCCATAAATTTCTATAAATATATCTACATCTATATTTATAGTGACACATCCTTCTAAGTGAAATGGCTTTATACATGTTCATTTTTAAGGCATTTTCACTTTTCATTAAGGCAATTCAATATGCTCCCTGTCCTCTTCATCATCTCATGGTCTCTGTCACCCTGCTCATTCTGAGTGATCGTTTCTAAGTCCTTCCACATAGTTCATGCCAAATGTTTCACCACCAATTACAATAAAATGACTTTCACAGCTTATAATATACTTTTTTAAAAGTCACTGATTCATGGAGTCCTTCAAAAATGCCTGTTTCTTCTTGAAATTCCTATTGCCATTCTTCAATCCTGAACTGGATGCCAGCTCAACCCCTTTCCTCATCCTTTTCTATCAGGAAAGGGCTCAGGTTCAGAGAATGCTTCTGGAAGAACAAAATCACCAAACTGAGGCATTAAAGCATTTAGCCTCTCCAGCTCACATTTCTGTCATTTGGAGCCTACTCTTCAGTCTAGGGGGCAAAATGTGAGCCAGTGGGACAAATCTTTCTGATGACTCCGGGCAGTGTGGTGGTTTATTTGATTATGTTTTATTGGAGTTTGAATGTGTTTAAATGGACAGAGCACTTAGTAGTCTAGAGTTAAGGCTCAGCCTTTCTTACTGTATTTATATTGGGCCGCACGTCTATCTACCTACCTGAGATGACCCTATGGCCACTTCCACTGGGTGCTTCTGCTTTGCCCTTTTTCTCAGGTCTTGGCATATGTCAAACGCTTTCTTCTTTCCAGGGCTACTTGATATATTTGTGTCAGGGTACTGTTCAAGCCTCTTTCTTTTTTTTTTTTTTTTTAATTTTATTTATTTATTTGACAGGCAGAGATCACAAGTAGGCAAAGAGGAAGGTGGAGAGGGTGGGGAAGCAGGCTCCCCACTGAGCAGAGAGTCTGATGCGGGGCTCAATCCCAGGACCCTGGGATCATGACCTGAGCCGAAGGCAGAGGCTTTAACCCACTGAGCCACCCAGGCACCCCGAGCCACCCAGGCGCCCCCTGTGCAAGCCTCCTTCATGTTCAGCCGACACTTCAAAGTCTAGTCTAATCGCCTGAGTTCATACTTTGGGTTTGCAACTCCCCAGAAACTGGTGGTGTAGTGAGATATGGTCTTCCCAGCCTCCCACTTCCTTTTCAGGCCCTCACTGCAAGCTCAGAGCCTCCTGCTATAAACCTGAGGGAAACGACTGGCTTGTCGTAATGATCAAGCCCACTGATACTGTTAATCACTTGGTATTTTAAAAATTACTTACTTTCTAAAATCTGGCCTTTGAGGAATAATTTACAATTGGTGAAATCTACAGATTCTAGGTGTCTTTTGATCACCTTTGAAAATGAAAGGGACGCTTGGGTGGCTTACTCGGTTCAATGTCTGCCTTCAGCTCAGGTCATGATCTCAGGGTCCTGATAGAGTTTTGCATCTGGCTCCTTGCTCAGTGAGGAGTCTGCTTCTCCCTCTCCCTCTGCCTGCTGCTCCCTCTGTTTGCTCTCTCTCTCTTTCTCTCTGTCAAATAAATAAATTAAATCTTTGGGAAAAAAAAAGAAAATGACATAAATTTATATAGTGACTTCTCCTGTTAAAATATGGAATATTTTCATCATCTCTATTGGTTTCCTCATTCCACCTGCCAGTCATCAAAGCCCAGAAGCAATGATTATTCTAATTTTCAAAATTAACTACTTTTATTATTAATTTTTTTTTTTTAATTTACTAGGGTTTAGTTAAGTGGTACTTTCCATCCTTCTTTGGTGTTTGGCATACTGATAAATCATTTTTTTTTTCTTTTTAGAGGGGGAGAGTGGTGGATAGGGGCAGAGGGAGAGGGAGACAGAGAATTCCAAGCAGGCTCCAAGTTCAGCACAAAACCCAACACAGGGCTCTATCTCACAACCCTGAGATCATGACCTGATCTGAAATCAAGTCAGTCACCTAACTGACTAAGCCACCCAGGCACCCCAGCATACTGATAAATTACTCTACATGCCCTCTTTCTAATTAAAACTTCCTTAGAGAATATTGATTCACTTGAGAGTTTAAATAATCTGTGAATAAAGTAAATATATCTTAAACTGAGAATGGATTTTTAACCCAAAGCGTAGTTTATTATTGATATTTAAAGTAAAAACATTTGTGAAAGTTAAAATTATACCAAAGCTAGTTTTCAGGCTCACACAAGCAAGATTACCTTTATTTCTTAGATTTTCTAGGAGCTACTTCTAGACAAAGTTTATGCTGGAAAGATAAATTAAGAAATAACTATGTGACACATTTCAACTTTAAACCTTGACTGAGATCAGTGATAATTAGAATTTTGTTGCATATTCTGTGTCATGTACTGAATGAAAGACTTTAAGTCCCAGGCTTATAATTACTGCATGTTATAGTTGCTTATATGACAAAATGCTTTTTTTTTTCTTCAGTTTTCTTTTCATAATAAATTATTTCTCTGTGTCTCTCCCATATACTTCCTCTATATCCCACTTATTTTTTAAGTTCTAGATCTCCCTCTTGGTAACAATGATTATGATCAACTATTTTTATAGTGGATCCAGTATGTGGAAAACCTCATTTGTCTTCCTTTCAGTGGAGCTTGGCTATTTCGATTCTTCTAGCCTTATCTACTCTCTTTAAACTTTATATGAAATCAGTAGATAGCATGTAGAGTAGGCCTGAGGAAAAAATAATTTTAAAAATATGAAGACTGTATGGACAATAACTAGCGAGAGTTTCAGTCCTGACTCTGCCATTTATTGACTATATGATCTTGGACACAATAATTTTATACCTTTGTTTCAAAAATCTGATGATAGTAATACCTGCCGTATTTACTTGTGTTATGAAAGTAACAAAATTAAACCATGTGTAAGAAAGCACTTGTACATTTTGAAGTGTGACAACAATGTAAGATAATGTGATTATGAATATTATATTTTCTAACCAATATCAGGGCTGATTTCTAATTATAAAGAAAAAAAAAAAAAAAACACAACCTCAGAATCCTCTTCCCCTGGCATTCTTTTACTTGAAAAGCTAGAGGAGAATAAACACAAACTGGGAAGAACACCTCACTCCTTTACACTGTATTGTTTGTGATGGTGGTGTTTTTCCAAAAGCATGTGTTTCTATGTTTGTGCTATAATTCTGTCTTCATTATAACTCTCACTGCAATGTAAGTTAACTTTATTTAGATGACTGTGTCTGTCTACTAAATTAGGAGATCCCTGAGGTTGGAGTGCCTTGCCCAAAATAAGAGAACAGCAAATGGATGGATGGATGGATGGATGGTTACATGGATGAATGATATCACAGTTTTTAAGAATGCACCTATGAGGTCTTAATGATGTTTGCAAAGTCCTGAATGCTGAGGTGAAGCCCACTTACTAGAAAGCAAGCAATCTTTCTCTCAGCTGTTTACACAGAAAATCCAGTTAATGATTCAGCCATTTCTTTACTTTTTCCACTGAGTTCTCTAGTCTATGCTAAATTCATCTAGAATATTCATCCAAGAGTATCTTCTCTGGTCTTTTTCTCTTCTTCTCCTTCCACCATGGTAATCTTGTGCTTTTCCCCTCTCTCTCCCACCCCATTGCTCTCTGGATCCTGGAAGAGTAGCATCTAGTCCTTATTGTCATTCCTGGCTGGAAAAGCCTTTTTTTTTTTAAGGTCTTTTATGTGATTCTGAAGTAGCATATACAAAACACAAGGGATGATGTATATTTAGCTCACTAATATTGACCTTCTATTATAACATCACTTTCATGGGCCAGGCTAGCAAAGGTCTATGCTTATTTAATCCACTGAAAAAATTACTCTCTAGGGTTCATGCAGATAGCAGTATTCAGAGACAGGGAAGATACGATGAGGGAAAAACAAAAGTCCAACTGTATAAATTTAATACAAATTTAATTTATTTTAATAATTTAATAATATGGCAAAAATGCATTAATCCCAGAAAGAAAAGTAATGATGAAAGAATGCGATGTGGTTGGGCAATGAATAATGATGATGATGATGATGATGATGATGATATTATTATCTATAGCTACAGTCTTCTTGGAGTTTTGGAAAAGGAGAAGAAGTACACTGACCTATACTTGGGACCTTATTGAATGGGAAGAAGAGGAGGTAAGATGTTAGGAAACCAGGAGACAGGGAAACTGGAATAACATGTGGTACAGGAAATTATTCACTGTCCTTAACATCCAAGCTGAAAAGAACTAAACACCATTAGGTTTTCCTTTGATGTTTTTTACTCCCAAGATTTCTTATTTCAAGAAGTTAAGAAAGATCATTGATGAGGTAATGTCATTTTTTTCAAAGCACTTTCACAATGTTTCCCTAAAATTACATTAGTGGAAAATTGTGTTAATAAACTATAGTTTAGGGTTTATTTGGAAAATAATTTGCATTTTATTTTTTAAAAGTTACTTCTTTTCCAATACTTACTATAAAAGTAGGTCAAAATGCAGGAGTATTGTTCCAGCTATTGGATATATGTATTTTTTTAATTTATGACTTTGATAGGTAGTAACTTTGGTTTCTCTTATAGGAAACACTTCGTCCCCAATTTGAAGCCAAGTATTACAAGATGGAGAGAGTGAATCCCATCAGTGGAAAACCTGAGCCACATCAGCCTTCCTCAGACAAAATCAGTCGTCTTCTTGTCTCTATCTCAGGAATATTCTTCATGGTAAAGTACAACCATCAATATCAGAATGTTGTGGGATCCCACATTTAGAAGGAAATTCTAAGATACCAACTCATTTTGTGAGCCTCAGGGTCAAACCATATCCAGTTCAGTACGTTTAATACATACCATTAAACAAAATTAAAATCACAGCAAGTCAAGGAGTGATTACAAAGAGAGTTTGGGCATATCTTTAAATAAAACACTCTTTGAAAGAAACAAAGAGCATCTAAAATAAAATGGAAATTATATGAGTTGTCCTGATTAATTAAAACTCAGCATTCCACTTGAAAGTGGAAATTTGAACAGTATCTTACAACATGTATTTTGACTGTAATGTAACTGAAGGAAAAAAACTTAAAGGAAAAAATTGAATTTATGTATCCTTTCTTGGAAAAGCAAATTCCTTTAGTTCTTCGGGCAGGGGGGAGGCAGGGGTAGTATCTTGGTCTGTGGTATTGCTTTTGCTTTGTCAATTATGCAAAATATGGATGTCTTCTCCCGTCTCCCATATTGTAGATTTCTTTGGTGATCACCGCAGTGTTTGCTGTTGTGGTGTATCGCCTGGTTGTCATGGAACAGTTTGCATCATTCAAGTGGAATTTCATCAAACAACACTGGCAGTTTGCAACATCGGCTGCTGCTGTCTGTATCAATTTTGTAATCATTATGGCCCTGAATCTTGTAAGTGTTTACAGTTTTCAAAAGGTTAAAAGGCATGGGTAGGGGAGAGGTCTATGTTTCCTTCATGCTTCGATTGTACTTTACAGGAAGCCAAAATGAGTCCAACCCATGTTTCCATCAATGGCAACTCAGTTTAGCAGAAAAAAATTAATCTATGTGGTTTGGATGATGGGTTTGTTTTTTTTTTAATTAAAATCAATAACAGTTGTATTGTCTTCCTTGTCCTTTGAGTTTATAATCTTGATGAGCAAACATTTCCATTCATTGAGTATCTAGTGTGTACTGGGAAAAGTGCTATGCTCTTTTCATTCAAATAAAGCATCTTTTGGTTCAAAAAACTGAACCTCAGTGGAGAATCTGTTACTAAAGTATAGGAAATTCTGTTTGAAATTGAAGGCTTGTTACTTCCAAGGCCTCACTTGAAATAGAAAATAGACAGCTACTCCATGTTTCTTTCTCTGGGTCTAAACAATTTTCTCATTCCTCCCTCCTTTCTTTCCTTCCTTCCTTCCTTCCTTCCTCAGTATTTTCCGTTTGCATATCTGTTCTGTTCTATCAGGAAATGTCTATCTTTGCTTAACCATGACCTGTCTTCTTTCATGCTGTGGTATTGCAAAGATTTTGTTATCTCCTTTGGTTCTAACTATGTGACCATGTTGGTTTCTATAGCCTATTTAACTGAGATCATCCAGTATTTCAATGTACTAATTTTTCAGAGCCAACATCTGATTGGTTCAACATCACCTACACTGATTGACTTGTGAACTCTATGGCTGAGAAGGCATTATTGTATCTACCTTGGCCCACATCTTCAGCAAGGTCTATGGGTAGGGTCCTGTTCTCTGAAGACAGGAGGCATTGATTGGCACACTTAGGGTAATAATCTCTTTAATTAATTTAATTAATCTCTTTAATTCTTCCAACAAGGCCAGTATGCCCTCTATTATGTAAATAAGGAAATGAATCTGGAGAGCTTAAATAACTTTCCCTAGATGAGACATATACTAAGTGTTAGTGCAGGCATATTTACATCATGAGATAATGTCTGAAGATAGATGAGCAATAGACAAATAATGATGTTTATATTATGTAAAGTAGTGTGCATTGAGTCTATATGTGGGTGAACACTGATGTTACATGTTTAGCCTCGAGAGGGCTAGGACCATCTAAAATAATCAGAAAAGTGAAAAGTCACTGTGATAAATAAGTTTTGATGCAAGGATGGCAGTTAATATCTCCTACTGGAGTCTGCTTTCTTCAGATTCCTTTTTGCTTTGCGGAAGGAAATTACTGCTTACAGTATCTCCAAATAAACCACACAATATCTTGAATTTATGTCCTTGACTCATAGATTAAAGTAAATGATAAACATTGAAAAAATACAATACGGGATGGAACAGGATGGCTGGTCGTGTGTGAAAGGTACTATAGGTTGCACATTACACAAAGTCACCACATTGTGGTGTATTACACATGCCACATTTTACACACACCACATTGATGGGGGAGCCATTCACAGAACAGATGTTGTAGATTTTTATATTTATGGTTATACTCTTATGGTAGATAGTGAAAGATATTGTTTCTAAAAAAAATCAATTGTTTTTTTAAATTTAATTTTTTTCAGTGTTCCAAGATTCATTGTTTATGCACCACACCCAGCACTCCATGCAATACGTGCCCTCCTTATTGTTTTTGACAATTTTTCTGTAAACAAAGATTATTGGGGTTGGCTTCATTTTCTGAGGAAAAGAGCCTAAATACTTGATGTGTTTATTTCTAGGTAACATTAGCAATCAACTGGTCTGATCTTAAATTGACTCCATTTCTTATCTGTAGTAGGCTGGTTGACATAAAAATGACTGGTCATAGTCCTGCTATCTAGGATCTTATAGTCTAGTGGGGACATAGGACACAATGAAGAATGAATGCATCATAGTTGAAGCACAAAAGGCTCTGAGTAAAATGGGGGAAAAAAAATACTGCTCCGGCTCTCATCACTTTGTGGTGCCTGTTGCTCAAATTGGTGTCCTGATAAAAAGCAGTAGACATTAGACACAGGCAAACCAAAGATTTGCACATGATCTGTGGGATCCTGGCCAGACCCTGTAACATCCTTGAGTTTTGATTTTTTGATCTTTCATGTGAAGGTGATAAAACTAATGCATAGGGGTGTTGAAAAATTAAATGAGATCCTCTAGCAAATAAATGGTGCCCAATAAATGTTAACCTTTTTCTATTTGGTTCTCTTTAATATTTTAAAATTTTATTTCTCTTTAAAAGTCTCTATAACCTCCTATTCTCTTTCTTGCAAAATACTAATATTTTGTTTACTTTTTCCCTTTCTCTTCATCTTTAAATCATAGAGTTTATTTATTAATCTTCAGTCCAAGTTATAGAAATGCCAGTGATCTTTTTTTGGTCTTTCTGAATTTATTTATAATTTTTTCATTCTTTTTTAAAATTGTTACTTATTGCCCATTCATAAATTTTTAAATACTCAAGAGTTGTCTGTAGAAAAAGAATCACATCTAAGGTGTTGTATTATGTCTTTTGATCAAATTTATGTCTAAAATATAAGAAGATTTAAAATATTTAATGAGTTCATGTGAAAATTATACCACTAATTTTTAATAGTCTTACTTTTTTTTTAATTTTTAATGGCATTTCTTTATTTTTAAAAAGTGGATGTTTTGTATTTGGTTGTTACTTAGGTATTTTTTTTTATTTCTTTTCAGCGTAACAGTATTCATTGTTTTTTGCACCACACCCAGTGCTCCATGCAATCCGTGCCCTCTCTAATACCCACCACCTGGTTCCCCCAACCTCCCACTCCCCACCCCTTCAAAATCCTCAGATTGTTTTTCAGAGTCCATAGTCTCTCATGGTTCACCTCCCCTTCCAATTTCCCTCAACTCCCTTCTCCTCTCCATCTCCCCTTGTCCTCCATGCTATTTGTTATGCTCCACAAATAAGTGAAACCATATGATAATTGAATCTCTCTGATTGACTTATTTCATTCAGCATAATCTCTTCCAGTCCCGTCCATGTTGCTACAAAAGTTGGGTATTCAGCCTTTCTGATGGAGGCATAATACTCCATAGTGTATATGGACCACATCTTCCTTATCCGTTCGTCCGTTGAAGGGCATCTTGGTTCTCTCCACAGTTTGGCGACCATGGCCATTGCTGCTATAAACATTGGGGTACAGATGGCCCTTCTTTTCACTGCATCTGTATCTTTGGGGTAAATACCCAGTAGTGCAATTGCAGGGTCATAGGGAAGCTCTATTTTTAATTTCTTGAGGAATCTCCACACTGTTTTCCCAAAGAGGCTGCACCAACTTGCATTCCCACCAACAGTGTAAGAGGGTTCCCCTTTCTCCACATCCTCTCCAACACATGTTGCTTCCTGTCTTGCTAATTTTGGCCATTCTAACTGGTGTAAGGTGGTAACTCAACGTGGTTTTAATTTGAATCTCCCTGATGGCTAGTGATGATGAACATTTTTTCATGTGTCTCTTACTTGTTTTTTTAAATGTATTTTTTCTTTCTGAAATATACTATTGTTATCTTTTTTAGTTTTGCATTATAAAATCAATACATTTTTATTATATAAAGTACTGACAGTACGAAGACATTAAAATATTAAGAAAAGTCACAGTTTTCTACCCAAAATGCCACTCATGTCCCTTCCTATCATAAACTAATTGTACCCATTGGAGGTAATCAATGTTAATGGTTTCATGTCTATTTATTCCCCTCACCATCAATTATTAGTGTCTTCAAAAGAGTACCCTGTGTTCCTGGTTTTGACAATTAGTTCCAAAGACCTTCTGATCTTCAAAAACATCTTAAGTGAGTTAGGAACTAACCTAATATTTTTGAAGATGGAAAGTATTTCATAGGGGAAATGAAGAAGCCAAATGTGTTTCAATTAACTTTTTCTTGGGAAGGCAAGCATGACAACTCTGAGAACAGAACCTCCAGCTCCAGGAGTCAATCCTTGGTTCCTACCCAGGGAAATAGCTATCTTTTTTTCACGTAAGCTGAAGAATTTGTCATGATCAGAACCTGTAATTAAATAAAATAGGAGCTTTCACCTTCATACATTTTCCTTATCAAAAGTTTCTTTTTATTTTCACTGATAGTTCAAAAAATTGAAATTTGGCTGAAGTCTCCCTTGGTGTACCAGACTCCAATTTCATATTATTCCAGTTGTTTCTTAATCACCAGTCCCTTAAATTCACTCTGCCTCATTTCCAACCCCTGCCTTCGGTTACTACCCCTTTCCTAGAATCACAGTAAACCCATATTCGCGCAGTCTTCTCTCTCATAAGCTTCCTGTCACTAAGTCTGTATAATTGGAGGCTCAATATATTCCTTCTTCCAAAGTACTGCTTTTTACAGATAACAAAGGCTGAACTAGATGGAGTGAATCTCCTAATTGTAGAAATAAGACCTCTGGAGGCAGATGAGGATAGTATTATTTTTGTCATAAAAACAATCTTTTGAGGTCCTCAAAATCCCACTAGTTCTACTTAATTCAATACAAGAGCCCATGTAACTGCCTAGTCCTATAATTCATCCGTTGTTCTTTATAGAACATAAGACTATCTTTTCTCTAATTATTTATTTCTTTATACTTGTTGGGAATTTTGACATAAAGATTTAGAGATTGTTGGAAGTAGAATCAACCACAAAACCTCTCCTTTGCTCTTGCAACTAATTTAGGAAAAGATTTTTAAATGGATTTTAGTATAAAGGAAGTGAACTACACAGCCAACTCAACAAATGTGAAAAGAATGTTCTATTCCTCAGATTTTATCAGTGTAAAACCTTAATGCCCTTCTGAACTTATGTATTCCCTTCCTATCGAGGATGTTAACACATGTTACAGATTATCAAACAGCCCACCTGATTTACCTGAACCCACAGGATTAATTTAAGGTCATAATCAGATAAACATAGATTAAAACCATTAATATCAAAATGCTAACT